TAATAATAATAATAATAATAATAATAATAATAAAAATTCTGTTAATGTAGTTAACGGCGTTAAAATTAAATCTGGGTATGATTTTCTGGGCCTGAGGGCTGGAGTTTTGGAGTTTAGAAGCTTGGAGATGAAATGAGATGGTGGTTATTGGAATAATGATATGTGACAAATATTTTTATTTTATTTATTTTTTTATTATAAGTATATATATATATATATATATATATATATATGGGAAATACTACAGTCCCCTTACGGTATCATCTCGTCGGGTGTTTTAACCGTTGGATTATATATCTTATCTAACTACACGTAGATTCAACGGTTAAAACAACTGACGGGATGGTACCGTAACGGGACTATAGCATCTCCCTATATATATATTTATGAAAATAAGTAAGCAATTGATAAATTCTGAAAAGATAAGAATAAATGAAATAAAAAAATGTGGGTAAAAAATATGGTTATTGGAAGCATTAATTGCTTGAAATATGTATGCTCGGTGATTAGGTTCTTTTGGCCTTTCTTGTCTTCTATTGTGATGTTGAAAATCTCCTAAAATTAGACAGAGCTTTCAATCAAAATACAAATAATTTATTATAGGATTTAAATTTCAATCGAAATTTCATATGTCACCAAATAAATAATTATTGTAAATCCCAAATTGAAATTGAAGTTTCAACAATAGTTAGAGATTTAAAAAAAATAAATAACTACACACACACACGACCTTCGCCATATTTACTTAGAGTAGTTAAATAAATGAGCTCGCATTTTTGTGAATTTGGCTCGCCTTGATTGATAAATGGGCCGAACTTGAGCTCGTTAAAGCATATATAATTAGCGAGCTAAGCTCTTTTTGTTAAGACTCAAAAAAGGGGAACTTTATGTAATTTTAATAATTTTACTCAGCTCGTTATAGTTAGAATTTAACATTAATATTAGTAAAATGAACAAAGTTCGAGCTCATCTATCGACTAGGCTCAAGATTGATTGACTTGTTCACACTTCTGGCTATATTCAACAAATGGTATATAAATAGATAAATATTACTATATCTTGAATTCAATTATTTTTTTTTTTAATTAAATGGAAAATCTCCATGTATACTTTCAAATATTAGTTCTCAAATTCAACTAACATTTTAATCACCTACATGAAATCCTTGCCTAGCCCACCTATGCACTTTAATAATAATAATTATAATAATTAAAAATTGTGAATTACATCAAATTGATTACAATTGCTCATCACCTTGAATGAGGGCTAATTAAAATGCCATTAAAGCCTATATTTCGAATTTAATCATGCTTTTAGCTTATTCATTTCTATTGTTGACAAATTGTACTTTATAATATTTTGACCGTGACAGAACAAAGTTTATTGCATCTTGAAAGTGGTGTTGGGTAGAGCAAATGTCTCAATTTTAAGCAAAAAAAAACACCCAAAAGCACGCACAAAAAGCCCTTTTTCTAATTGTGTTAGGTAGAAACATTGGAAGGTTCCATGAGATATATATATAATTTCCAGAAATGCTCTTCTACCCACGGTGTACACGTATTAATATGCACACCGCTTATGTTGCATGCACACATTGGTGATGTATTTTTTTGAACATATTAACATCACCGTGCCACATAAGCAGTGAACATATTAACATGTGCCCACCGTGAGTAGATGAACATTCTCCTATATATTTCTTCCACTTTTTATCTAGTAATTATAACGATTATTTAATTAACCCACATATATATACATATATATTAAATTGAAGTGTTATATTTTAAAAAACAACATAAACAAAAGTATGTATTTTTGCTACAAATATATGACAGATCGATCCGTCTAATAATTAGTTCATAATTTTTGTTTGAATTATTCTTCTCCAATCTTTGCATTTGCAGCATTTCATTATTTTTTTTAATAAAAAATGCATACTTATATTATGAAACGTCGTAATGTTTTGTTTTATAATATATTAATGTATAAATATATGTCGAAAAAATATAATTAACATCAATATTACTCAATATTCCACCCAAATATAACATAGTCTAGTAGTATTCGACTAATCATCCATCATTATTGTGTAACGCTCATTGATATATGAGCACTACGTATCCATGTACATACTAACATTATCATGTGCAGTAGAAAATAATTTTTAAAAAAAAAAACAAAAAAGGGGCTAAAAGTAGAAAATGTAGTTCTCAACAAAGTCAATATATATATATATATATATATTCAATTATTGAATTATTGAGGGTAAATATATGTCTGCCAACCACAAATTTTTACTATTTGCCTTTGACCATGACGTGAATATCATTATTATTATTTTTTGTTTATGTATTTGAAGTAAAATAATCATGCATAAGTTAATTTTTCAATTTTTTTTTCTTATGTGACATCTGAGTGATGACAGGACTCCATTCCATAAGTCAACGATAATATTTATTAGATTTGAGTTTGGTATATTATCACTCAAAAGTCAAAATATCAAATATGTGACATTAGTAATTACTAATTAATTAGTGAAATTGATGTTTATATTATTTTACTTGTTATTAAACTGCAATTTCTTAAATATGGCTCCAAAAGAAAAACGGGTGCAGTCATACGCACGTGAAGGGCACCATAAGCAGAGTAACCCCTGATAAAGTCCAAGTGAGGTTTCATCTCAAAACCAATTGGTAGTAGGAAGAGTAGTCTAACTTATAAATTAGACATATTTTCCATATAGAAACGATGTGGGACAACATATTCTAACCGTACGGAAAAATAAACATGGGCCAAAGTGTGAGTTCGAGAGATTAGAGGGTGTTTGTTTATAAAAATATTTGATTCATGCATACTCAGATCATACTTAAAATCTAGTTCAATTTCAACTCCATTCAATTATCTTCAATATTATCAATATAATTCAATAATATCAGTCAATTATTCTTACGCATCATACCAACTTTAATTCATTATTTATCTACTCACATAACATCATCTCTCTCATACTTTTCATCAAATCAACTTTAATTATTTTACTTTAAATATTATGTTAATATAAACTCAAAATTTCACTAACAACTAACTATACTACTTTTTACAAAATTAATCCTATATAATAAAAAAATTATTTTAAACGGATAAATTTGCATCAAGCACATACTAATAATGGGTTTTAAGTTTCATTTAAGAAAAGTGTGGGCTCGATGGTTGGCAGCAGCCCAAGGTAGGCTTAATTTTGTCCCAGACGGAAAATTGTGCCCCACGAGAGTCCTATTGTCTTAGTGGCCCATTTGTGATGTTGCTTTCTCTTCTACACATAATAATTTATTTACTCTACAATTTACATAATGTGCATTTAGTATTTAGGCAGGATACAACCAAAGTTCTGGTAATTATCCATTAATTTGTTCCACGAGTAGATTTAAACGAGCCGATCAGAGCTCAAATTCCTTAAATTAAGCTCGAGCTCGAGCCATTCACTTAATTTCCTAACCTCTTAACATTCTTCGGCCCGTTAAGACACTCGAACTTGTATATCAGCACGTTAACTTAACAACCCGAGCTCGGCTCATTTAGAACTCTAGCAACCCATCACCAAACAATATGCAAAAATCAATTCCTCTCATCAGACAAATACTCGGTTTACCCATTCGGGGCATATTTACACCCTCCAACGACAAACAAAGAAAGAATTTTACAAAATAATACAACATGAAGAACCAAATGAAGAGATGGACTTTATAAATTTTACAATTTACACAACAAGATGATTTCTGGGTAGAAAACCTGTTTGTTGGCTCCGGTTAATCGGCAGGTGAACATAAAAATCGTGCACGTCTTGCTTGTTAACTTCTCCCCTGTCCCTGTCTATGGCGTAGCACACGTAAACTGTGTCTATTACATTATCCAAAACGAGAACAAAAAAGCCGAGAATCACAACAAGCAGAGCCCAAGCCATGGCAGCCACAAAGTATGCATCGTCACCTAGGTGGATAACGGCTTTTAGGAGAACAAAGACCTGCAATTATCGTGTGGAGAAAAAGAATTTTTCAGATCCAAATTCGAATTATATATGTAATGTTTAGCTTAGTTGTTAAAAAAAGAGAAGAGAGAGGGAAAAAAAAGACGCATCTTTTGAAATAACTATGATCTACCCAAATGGATCATCGGATTTGGCCTGCGACTATAAACAAACCCACAATTTTTGCTCATGATAATAATTCGTTTCTATTATACAAATTGCATCTTTTCAAGGTGGGTATTTGTAAAGGATTGCATACCTCAAGAGAGTTCTTTGCATCATCTCAACGGAGACAGAAAGTAAATGAAAATTTTCATAATATAATTGGGGTCTTCCTTTTGCAGTTAAGTCAAACCGAAAGAGAAGTTTCAATATCTTTTGAGGTTCGGAACAATTACTGAATTACCTAAGAAACCCGTAACAGTTTACATATCTTTTCTACTACATAATAAAAGCGTAAGTTTGATTATTCAATTTAAGGAGGTTGCAGCAAGCAATACTAGCAATATATGTGATACTGATATGAATATAAGGAAACTATTCCAAATGTTTTTGCTTCTAAAGGAGAAATAAAAAGAGAAGTAAAATGCATTGATGTAACTTTAAAATTCTCCGGGTTTCATTGTAAAGACACCCCATAGGTTAAGTGAGTGTTTTTGTAACAACAATATAGGTTAAGTGAGTGTTTTTGTAACTATCCATGAAAATGATAAAGCTAACAAGTCATCTCAAGCCCCAGCACAAGTATCATAGCTCAGTTTATTTGGTTATATAATCTACTTCAATCATACCTATTATGGTTATGTTCGGTAGACAAATAAACTAGCTTATATAACTTATTTCGTTAGCTTCTAAGCTTCCTGTATTTACACAAGTTTCGTTTGGTAGGACGAACTTTTTTAAAAAGCTCGAGCTTATCTCATAAGCTTCTTTAGGTAGCTTTAAGCTCGTTGAAATTTTTATTTCAGCTAGCTTATCAAATAATTTTACCAAACACTTTTATTATATAAGCAAGCTCTTATAGCTTTTCAGCTATAAATCATAAGCTATAAACTATAAGCTCGAAATTACTGATAAGTTAGCTTATCAGCTAATTTTACCAATCATAAAAAGGTTTGGCTCTAACCATCCACTGATTACACATTCTCCCATGACTTAAAAGCAGTCGTGCAATTTGAAAAATTTCATCAACGAAAAGAATTCAAGATGAAATAATGTAAAACTTAAGTATACAACACACAAATTCAAAGAAATAGGGAATGTAAAAATTACCGCAATGGCATAAACTGCCGACAACACAAGAACAATCCCGAACAATATCCGAGTCGAGACAGTCTCAACGAACACGGTCGAGAAGAGGTTGCGTTTCAAGAGCTCGTAAGTCATCCTGGCGGATTTACAATAGGCCTCGCCGGTTATGGCAGCAAAGTTGATTGTGAACTTGTTGAGGAAATCAACGGCCGAGAGGAGGTTATTCGCACAGCACCGTAGGATTAAGTTCACAATTCTTGATGAATCTTCCTGCCTCGCGCTATCGACTACTGCTCGAACTATCCGCACGACAAATATTAGCAATCCCGAGAAGCAAATTGTGCCCGAGGAAGGACCGAATGCATTTCTGCAGTAAGTTTATCAGCGCAAGTTAAGTTAGGAAAATTGATATTAACTCGCGCAACTAACATATTTTGAAGAAAGAAAAACCACGAAAAAGAGGTTTTGATTATGTCGTGCATTTTTTCATTGAGTGGGAGAAAAATATTTTCATCATCATCATCATTTATAGAAATATTACGACTGTCCTCGTAAAATTAAAACAGAATCAAACATCGGTGGGCTTTTTTGTAATCTCGCAACTTTCTATAGGCTCTCATAATTTCATCCAAATGTCATTGTGTTGCTTTGGAATTGCCCCTACCCTAAATCATATTATAGTGTGATCCTTGACACGAAAGCATCTTAATCTATTAAATGTTCAAGTATGAGACAATTTGTAATCTGCAACAAAGATCAGGTCGTAGAAATATTTCCATGAGCAAAAACATCATTAACAAATTCCCTCATATCCACCACTACATTCCTATAAGTTGATCGAACACTAGACAGAAAATTGGCTTCAACATATTACACAAATCGCTAAAAAGAAAGATAATTTAATTCAAACCAACCTCAAGGAGCTTCTGATTCTGTGCTTAGGCCCCGACTCATCATCTTTCGAAAAATACCATTGTGCGATGGTCCCACTGATAACATACACCTGAGCTTCCACCATAGCAGCCATAGACCACAACATTGTTAAAATCGCCAATGTGTAATAAGCCGGCACCCAGTTATCCTGTTTCCACACACAAACAAACTCCCCATTCTTTTCTCTAGGCACGATTTTCCCGTTCCAATTGGCGAATATAAAAAACACAATAACCGGGACATAGTAAACGAACAACCCAAGACTCAGAGCTGGAAGAACTGCCAACAAGCCTAAATTTCTCCACAATGCGTTCGAAGCCACTCCAATTATTCCCACAGTTAGCTCAACTCTATGCCAGTTGATCAAGAAAATCCACACGATAATTCCAATTATCAAGAACATGAAAATCAGGACTAAAATTCGATACGCCAGGGGAAAGGCATGGCTGCAGGTTGAGCTCACTGTACAAGCAACGAACCAGTAGACGTTAATGGCGATCGGGACTATCACAAAAAAGGGAATCGAGGCGTAAACTATCTGCTTCGTGTAGCGTTTGAGCAGCATAAGCACGGAGAGCACAAATGGGCCGCTTAAAAACAGGGTTATCACAAGTGTACATATCAAGCTCTTAACAAGACTCGAATTTATGGAGTTTAAGGTTGTGGGCTTGTCTGAAAAGGGTGAATTATCAATCAGGTCGGTGAAAAGTGACGACTTTGGAGCATTTACAGAGAAATCAACACTGTTTTTCAGCAGAGAGCAAGAGGACGACGTCGTGTTGTAGACGAAAGACGAAATTTGGCGGCGGTGAGGGTTTCTACGGACAGCGGCGAAAATTCCGAAGGCGAAGGTGCAGAGAACGAGGAGACAAAACAGAAGGAGAAAAGACAAGTCTTTAATAGAGCGAATGTCGTAATTGTAGGAGATCTGAAGGTACTGTG